GCCGCCGGAGCTGCTGGCGCACCAGCCCTTCCAGGTCATCCTGCGCTACACCTCCATCGACGCCCCTGCTGTGAGTCCAGGGGAACCCCGGGCGCCCGGCGGGGGGCGGGCACCTGCCGAAAGGCGGGCCTCCGGGCTGAGCGTCCCGCTGCAGGAGTCCCGGGAGCCTGGGGCGGTGGGCAGAGGGTTAGGGCGGTGCATGTCCCCCTGGAGGCCCTCCCACGGTGAGGGGACTGGAGCCGCTGGTTGACACCTGCATGATGGCAGCTGACAAGGGGATGGCTTGGCCAGGTGGCCTGTGGTCTTGGCCTGGGTGTGGCACTTGGCTTTTGACTCCTTTGGTGAGGTCTGGGGGTGCTGGCATGCAGCACTCTGGGCAAGGGGTGCCCACCTTCCCAGAGGTTCTGGCAAAGGTCAAGTGTCCCAGCTGCCACTGTGGCTGCAGGACAGCCCGTGGTGAGGCTGTCCAGGGGTCAGGCCTTGCTGGCCCTACAGTGTGTGGATTTGCCCCGGGTCCAGCATGGACTTCACGCAAGGGATTCCCATCCCACACCTCCCCACACCCCGAGCCTTGGGAGGCACAGGTCCTTCCAGCTTCCCCGCCTGTGACGGTCCACCAAGGACCCAGGTGAGAGCCCAGCTCCACCACACCTGTGGCCAGCCTGCAGGGGCAGGTGAGGAGGGAGGGGTGTTCTGCCCAGTGGCCCTGGCACATGGAGCACAGGGCTGCTTTACTCAAGACCTTGGCCCCAAGGGAACAGCACCTTCACATCACAGGAGGGGGGCAGGGGGGTGCTCACCAAACATGCCAGGGGGGCATGGAGTGGGCACCACTGCTGTCAGCCCCTGCAGGGTCAGGAGTGCCTGCCGGCTCCCTCCCTGGGTGGCTGGCACCCTCCAGCACGTCCCTCTGTGTTCACTGCACTTCCCTTGGGGCTTGGTGGCCAGCAGAGCAGGGACAGGCCACGGCAGGAGACTCAAGGCACACCTCAATCCCCCTCATCCTGCCACCCAAGCTAGACCCGCGGTGCCCTGGTGGCACACTGGGTTAAGCACTGGCTGCTCATCAGGTCAGTGGTTCAAACCCACCAGCACGGTTCTGGGTGCATAGGAGCTAGTGGGGGTCACCATCCAGCGATGTGCAGCCTCAGAGAGCTTGCAGGGGGTTGCATCCTGCCCTCCAGGGTTCCGTGAGTTGGGGTCACCCCAGCAACAGTGGGTTTGGATACTGGGTTTCAGAGCTGGACCTTGTACACATGAGGTCTGCATGGCCCTCGGTGACCCAGAGGAAAGCCACTCTGCTTGCCCTCAGCCCACTGCCCTCCCTGCGCCCCACCCCCGCCTCCTCCCACCTGCCCACCTGTCCTCTTTGGGGCAGGGTGCCGGCGGTGCCCCTGCTGATCCCCCCGCCTGCCCACAGGTCTGGTGGCTGGGCCCCGAGCTGACCTACGGCCATGCGAAGCCCTTCGTGTTCACCCAGGGCCACTCCGTGTGCAACCGCTCCTTCTTCCCCTGCTTCGACACACCTGCCGTCAAGTGCACCTACTCCGCCGTGGTCAAGGTGAGCCCAGTGCCCTCCTCCAGCCACTGCCTGGGTCTGGGCCCGGGAGGAGGGCGCAGACAGGCCTGCTGAGGTATGGAGTCCCTGTCCCTGCTCAGGGGGGCAGGCTCAGTGAAGACACAGGGCCCCTGGCCAGGGGACCACCCTGATAGGCCCTTGCTGGACTGTCCTGGACTGGGAGCTGGGGCCCCTAGGTAGGGTTGTGGGGTCCCCAGGGAGACTCAAGAGCTCCAGGCAGTGGGGCCCTGCTCCTCAATCTGGGGTCCCCACAGGCCCCTACGGGGGTCCAGGTGCTCATGAGCGCCACCCGGAGTTCCTTCTCGGAGGAGGAGGGTGTGTACCACTTCCACATGGAGCACCCGGTGCCCGCCTACCTCGTGGCCCTGGTGGCCGGAGATCTCCAGCCAGCGGACATCGGACCCAGGTAGGTCCCCGCCTGCTGCCCGCTGCAGCATCCCTCCTCTGGGGGCTGGGACCCAGCCTCCGAGAATCTTGCCCTTGGCCAGGCCCACCACCTCTCTGTCCATAACCCCTGCCCAGTCTGGGGTGCTCACAGGCAGAATCCCAAGCCTTACTACCATGCCCTGGGTTTACCCTCACAGGCCTGCTCCTCCCACCCTGAGACTCCATTAGCAGGTGCTGGGCCTCTGGGCAGCTGCTACAACTACTAACCCTGGCCCCCGGGTGTCTGCTGGGGGTGGAGGTGGGGTTGGGCCAAAACAGGGGAGCAGCAGGTGGCCTTGGAGAGGGTGGTCTGTAGCCCTGCCCACCTTCTCTGCCCCACAGGAGCCGTGTATGGGCTGAGCCCTGCCTACTATCCACGGCCACCAGCAAGCTATCGGGCATGGTAGAGCAGTGGCTGACCACGGCTGAGAGACTATATGGGCCCTACATGTGGGGCAGGTATGGCCGGGGCTGGGGTCTATACATGTGGGGCAGGTGCATCCTGGGGGCTACATGTGGGCAGCTGTGGCCTGGGGGCTCTTCATGGGGGGCAGGTATGGCCCGAGGGGCTACATATGGGCAGGTGTGTCCTGGGAGGGGTCTGTACATATGGGGCAGATGTGTCCTGGGAGGGGTCTGAACATGTGGGGCAGCTGTGTCTTGGGGGGCTGCGTATGGCCTGAGGTAGACCTGGAACCCTGGCTGCCTGGGAAACAGTCCCCCTTGGGGATTCCCGTGGCGCCTGCCATGCCCTCCATCACGAAGGTGCAGGCCCCGGCCCCTGAGCCGCCCACCTGCCGGCAGGTACGACATCGTCTTCCTGCCGCCCTCCTTCCCCATCGTGGCCATGGAGAACCCCTGCCTCACGTTCATCATCTCCTCCATCCTGGAGAGCGACGAGTTCCTGGTCATCGATGTCATCCACGAGGTGGCCCACAGCTGGTTCGGCAACGCAGTCACCAACGCCACCTGGGAGGAGATGTGGCTCAGCGAGGGCCTGGCCACCTACGCACAGCGGCGCATCACCACCGAGACCTACGGTACTGGCCGCGGGTGGGTGGCGAGTGCCCTCCCCCAGCCACCTGCGACTCTGCTGGCTCCTATGTGTGACGCATCACAACCAAGCCTGCGGGTGGGGAGATCGAGTGCCCACCCTTTAGCCCCTCCTCCGCACGCATGCGCACTGTCCCCACTGGCCTGCTCCTAGGAGTGGGGGCAGCAGTGGCCCTGAGCCTTATAGTACCGCCCCGGGGGGAGGTGAGTGGGAAGTGAGTGCGTCCCTTTCTGCAGCCCTCACCTGCCTGGCTCCCCTGCCTACACGCCCACCCAGGTGCGGCCTTCACCTGCCTAGAGACGGCGTTCCGCCTCGACGCGCTGCACCGGCAGATGAAGCTGCTGGGAGAGGACAGCCCGGTCAGCAAGCTGCAGGCCAAGCTGGAGCCAGGTACCTACCCTGCCCACAGCCGGTCAGACACCCCAGCTGCGCCCCTGCTCACCAGCCTGACAGGCCGGGTACCCCTTGCAGTACTCAAGCCCACCCTCCCAGCCAGGGACTCTGGCCTGCCCCCTCCCGTGCGCCCCCCCCTCCCCAAGTCCCTTCCCCAAGAGGCCCCCAGAGTGAGGTCGCCTCACCTAGGTACAGGGCACCAGGTCGCATGATCCTCAGTTTCCAGGCCTGGGAGGACAGTGGTGGCTCTCAGCTTTTCTCTTCCTCCCTCCCGCCAGAGCACTGCTCCTTCCGGCCCCTTGGGACACAGAGGGTCCCAGGTGTGGCACAAGTAGGCCTCTCTCTTGCAGGTGTGAACCCCAGCCACCTGATGAACCTCTTCACGTACGAGAAAGGGTACTGCTTTGTACACTACCTGTCCCAGCTCTGCGGAGACCCTCAGCACTTTGATGGCTTCCTCCGAGTGAGCACACCCCCCTACCCTGGCGCTCCCTGGCGGGCACCTGAAGAAGCCCCCCTCTCTGGCCAGCCATCGCTCCTGGGCATGTCCAGACACTTCCCCTCCCTTGCCAGTCCCGTTGGGCCCGGGATGCCCCTGGGTGAGTCTGGCGGCGGTCTGGTGGGCGCTGAGGCCAGCCTGTCCCCACAGGCCTATGTGGAGAAGTACAAGTTCAGCAGTGTGGTGGCCCAGGACCTCCTGGACTCCTTCCTCAGCTTCTTCCCCGAGCTCAGGGAGCAGAGCGTGGACTGCCGGGCAGGTGGGGGGCGGGGCAGCCATGGCCCTGGGGGGTGGGTAGCCTTCTCCCCTGCCAGCTGCCCTTCCCAGCCCTCCTGTGATGGTGACAGCTGGTAGTCACAGAAGGAGCACTGGGTGTGTTTGTGTGTGCCTGTGTGCTCACACGTGTGCAGGGCCGGGCGGGGCACCTGAGGACCCTCCCCAGCAGCATGGTGTCAACACAGCAGCCTGGGCTTTGAGGCATGGGGGCCAGAGAAGAGGCCAAGGGTCTACATTCTGGGAGAAAGTTGGGCTTTGCTGGAGGGTGGTGGGAATGGGAGGGCTGAGCGTGGGGACCTTATGTCTTGGTAGGTGGGTGAGGGGACGTAGATTGTTGTGGGGTCGTGCAAGACCTGCCCTCATCCGGCTCATGGGGCCCAGAGCCTCTGGGGCTGAGGTTCAAGCATTATTGTCTTGCGTCCAGGAGAGGGTTGGGGTGGGTGAGGGTCCTGGGTCACCAAGCCCTCTCCCCACCGTGCAGGCAGTGGCTTTCAGTGGCAGACCGTGGGACCTGGCCCCTGGGCTCTGTGCTAGAGGACAACTTCTGGGTGGGTGGTCCTCCCAGCAGGGCAAGTACCACATGCTCGCCTCCCTGCCCCACAGGGCTGGAGTTTGAGCGCTGGCTCAACGCTACGGGCCCCCCACTGGCAGAACCGGACCTGTCACAGGGGTCCAGTCTAACCCGGCCAGTGGAGGCCCTCTTCCAGCTGTGGACGGCGGAGCCCTTGGACCAGGTGGCTGCCACGGCCAGCGCCATCGACATCTCCAAGTGGAGGACCTTCCAGACGGCCCTGTTCCTGGACAGACTGCTGGACGGCTCCCCGCTGCCCCAGGGTGGGACCCCGTTCTCCGAGGGTGGCGGTCCCCACTGGTCCACGATGGGCTCATGCCACTGCAGGGTGGGTTCCTGCTCTCCCAGGGGGTGGGGTGCGCCTGGGTGGTCCTGACATGTCCTGTCTGCAGAGGTAGTGACCAGCCTGTCCCAGTGCTACTCGTCCCTGCTGGACTCCATGAACGCCGAGATCCGCATCCGCTGGCTGCAGCTTGTGGTCCGGAATGACTACTACCCCGACTTACACCGCGTGCGGCGCTTCCTGGAGAGCCAGGTGCTGCTCTGCTGGCCGCCCGGGGCGGGGCCTCTGCCAGCCACGCCTCTGCTGGGTGGGGTCTTGGTTGCTTGTGGGGAATGAATAGTACTTGGTCTGAAGGACCACGGCTCAGGGCTTTGCCCTTCCAGGCTTGGAGGTGCCTGTGTGCCGGGGAAGAGACCTACTCTGGGTCTCAGGGACGGCCACCCCTCAAACAGGCTGGAGGATCCCAGGCCTGCCCCGACTCGCCCCTGATCTGGACACCGTAGAAGCTGGGTGGGGGTGGGGCTCAAGGTGGCCCTGGGTGGTGGTAAGCTAGGCTGGGGGCGGGGGTTGGGGGTTGGGCAGTAAGCCAGGCTGTGGTCCTGGAGATGAGGTTAGGCAGTTGTCCTCCTGGACAGATGCCAGGTTGGGAGGCTGCCAGCCAGGGGCACGGGTGGGGACCCTGACCCTGAGCGCCTGCCTGCAGATGTCGCGCATGTACACCATCCCGCTGTACGAGGACCTCAGCACCGGCGCCCTCAAGCCCTTCGCCCTGGAAGTCTTCTACCAGACCCAGGGCCGGCTGCACCCGAACCTGCGCAGAACCATCCAACAGATCCTGTCGCAGGGCCTGGGCCCAGGCGTCGAGCTGGCTGCTGAGCCGGGCGCTGAACGGGACGCAGGCATGGGCGCGGACACGCCGGCCCTGCTGCTCGGGGACGAGGCCCCAGGCACTGCCCTCTCTCTCAGGGACGTCAACGTGTCCGCCTAGCCTGTGCGGGCTGCCCACCACCTCCGGACACCACGATTGTGCCTTCTGGGTGCGACCGGGACCACCCATCCCCCGTCCGCGTGGGCTCGCCAGGATGCAGGGTGCGGGTTTGCGCGGGGCACGGGCTCTGTGGGGTTTTGCCCAGGCCCCTGCGGCGGCCCCCGGGGCAGCGTGCCCTCCGTGCGCGCATAGGGGCCGCGCCCAGCCCGGACTCCCGGCAGCAGGCGCGGGTGTCCACGCCAGGCCCCCCGGTGACCACCACACTGTGCCTTACGTTGCGGGCGGCCTGGCCATCCTCTGTCTGTCTTGCCGCCGCAGCCTCCTGGGCAGAGGGCCAGGGACGCAGACTTGCCCTCTGTTCCCCATGCTTCTGCCAGGGGGCACCAGGGAGAGGCAGCACGACCCCAGGGAGGGGCCAGGGGCCCAGGAAAGCCTTAGCCCCTCAGGGAACTGGCGTCCTAGGTGGGAACAGGGTGGGGCGAGCGCACGGGCGAAGCAATACCGCAGGGAAGCGGCAGGTGGCGCCGGTGCTCTCCTTAGGCCACCTTGCTGCGGAGGCGGCCGTTGGGGTCTCCAGGGACCACTGGGGTGAGGGCCTTGACTAGGCCCCGCACCGGCACCGGGATCGTCCCATTAAACCTCCACTTTGCAAACCTGACCTTCCTCTCCCCGTGCCTTCTGACTCGGTACCCACGTGGGATCTCTGGGGTTGAGCTGGCCACGGGTTGGTACCCCCTCTGATAGCAGGTGCTGGACTGGACAGGCTTCCCAGCTGGCCTTGCCCTACGCCCATGAACTCTTAGCCCATGCACGCCAGAGGGCACCACTTACCAGGTCCTTCTGTTCGGAGTCTTTGGCCAACACTTGCCTTAGCAAGGGCCTCCGTTGGATGTGTGTACCCCCCTTTCCAAGGACAATGGCCCAGATTCATCCCTTGGCACTCGGGCCAGGACCAGGCTGGTTTCTGCCACTGGTGCCCTTTCCTGGATTTGGCTTTCCCTCCTGTAGTGAGGACAGACCCTCAGCTTCATTGGGTTGGGGTAGAAGAAAACAAGGCCCTCGGCTCAGGGCAGTCCCTGGAGAGTGGTCCCAACGCCCAGGCAGACCTGCCCAAGCACTCCTGCCAGCCAAGGCAGAACCACCTCCTGCAGGAGTGCTCAGCTGCTGCGTGCTCTGCAGGAGCAGCAGGCCCCAGCTGGCACACTGTTTAGGAAGCCGAGTGAACAGGCAGTAGGAGCTGGAATCAAGTTTATTTCCAGTGAGGTGGGGTTGGAGGATGTGGCTTGGACTCCTGCCAGTGTGGCCTTCATGCCCCTCCCTCAGACTCTCCTTGTCAGCCACAGAGTAAGTGTCCCCAGGGCTTGCCTTGCAGCTCTACTGACTGGCATGGAGCTCTGGGGTAGGGAACAGACTGCTTACTGGCAGGGGAACCCTGGGAGGGAGTACGAGAGGGAGGCCAGGTGCTGGGAGGAAAAGACTAGCAGGTTCACCGAGGTGCTTAGCATACTGAAGTGAGGCCTGACAGTGCAGGGAGGTGTCCAGCTGTGTGGTCTTGCAATTCTATCTATCCAGGTGAGTGACCTGGGCTCCCAAACCAGGACACTGCCCACCTGGCCTCAGAGGGAGGAGTCGCAGTGGCAGCTCATTAAAGCAGCAGGCAGAGGCTCCACGGCCAGTTCTTTCAGCGTACAGGCATTTGGGCCTTGGTGGCGGAAAACTTGATTAGCAGCTCAATGCGGAGGCCACCACGCTGCCAAGGCTCCGTTCGCAAGGCTGGATTAAATCGCCCGGAGATGAAAACACCTGAGAAGGCCGGGGAGCTGGCGGAGCGCTGTCACTCCGAGGGCCGGGGTCCCGCTCCCCTCGCAGTCCGGCCTCGGCACACGCTTCAGCCACCGCGCAGCAAGCTTGCGGGGTGAACGGTGAAGCCTCGGGAGGGCCAGGGTCCCGCGGCCGAAGTGAGCACGTCCTGAGATCAGTCCATCACCCCGCACCCCTGAGCGGCCAGGTCATTTGAGGGCCAGGAAGGGTGCGCAGCGGGCCGCTCGCACCTCAGCCCTGCGCTGGGCTCGGGTGGCAGCAACGGCCGCCAGGTCTGCCCATTACGGCTCTTTCCCCACCGCCAGCGGCACAGGCCAGGTCCGGACGACGAAGGCTCTTCCTGCGCACTCGCAGTGCATGCTGGGATCTGTAGTCCGCGTCAAGGCCTCGGTCACCTTTGTTCTCTCAGTCCCAAGAGGTCGCGAGTCCCAGCCTGGACGACCGGCCCGAGCGAGGTCAGCCCCAGGACAAGATGCCCGACAGCTTTCTGGGCGTGAGCCTCAGTAGGAACGGCTCCGCCTCCGACAGACCCCGGAAGGAGAAGGTAACAGCGAGAGAGAAAGCAGCCTCGCGAGAGCGAGCCAACGAGCTCCACCCCCTAGACGAGATCGCGGGGCGGGGCGGGGCGGAGCGAACTCCAGTGTGATTGGGTTGACCTGTCATGTGATCTTGGGTGACGCCTGTGTTTGGCTGCAGCCTGTACCCCGCGGTTACCCGGGTGACGAGCGGAGGCTGCCCCCTAGAGGGTGGCTGGTTGGCAGGTTTCCCCGCTGAAAGGCATGGGGGCGGGGCACCAGGGTCTGGCCGGGGTGGGTCCCCCTGGGTCCGCGGCCCCTAGCCCACGGGCCCGGTTCGCTCACGCGGCCACGATCGTTGCGGGGCCCGCAGATGGGAGCCCGGGGCGTCGACGCTGCAAGCGGGTCTGCCGAGCCGCCGTCGCCAGAGCTCTTCCGCGACGCCGCCTTCCCGGCCTCGGACGCCTCGCTCTTCTTCAACTTGTCCACTCCGCTGGCCCAGTTCCGGGAGGACTTCACATGGCGGCGGCCGCAGGTGGGCAGTGTGGCACGGGGGGCCGAGGGGTGGGCGGTCGGCGGGGCGGGCCACAGCAGCCACGCCCTGGGAACCCCGGGAGCGCCAGACTGGTGCGTGCGTCTGCAGTCATGGCTCCCAGCTCGCCTCCTCGCCAGCCCACGTAGGATGTGCCGGACACCCAAGCGCTAGATCCGCCTTTGGGAACCTGCTGGGATGCAGGAAACCCCTGGGGAACACAAATTGCTCAGGGCTCAGAATGCACCCTGAGGCTTTGCGCAGGAAAGACGTGGCAGTCAGCTTTGCTGAACCAGCGTGGGTCATTGTGGCGTGGAGTCAAGTCCCTGGCAGCCGGGAGGACATGGCGGGCACAGCGAGCAGCTCCTCAGAAGGCAGTGTGGAGGGACCCGTGGCCTGCTCTGTGTTGATATTTCACATCTGCTGAGTAAGACAGCCCTGAGTGGCCACAGGCCTCGCGGGCATCTGGTGGCGGCCAGCAGGCCTTGTAGGGAGCTGAGTGGTGACTGAAGTGGCTCTGAGAGGAGTCCGTCTTTGGACCATCCTGAGAGCAGAGGGGAGGCAGAGCCAGAGCATGAAGAGCCTTATGGAATTGGGGGTTATTTCATGAGGATGTGGATTTTGGGTGTCGTGGGAGGCTCCCGAGGAACAGTGGGTTAAGTGTGCCGCTGACTGAAAGACCCGAAATTACAATCCACTAGCCGCCCTCTAGAAGGATGGGGCCACCTGCTTCCCTAAAGATTTACACCCATGGAAGGCCAGGTGGCAGCTTAAGGAGACCAGGAATGGAGCCAGAAGATGGCACTGTGGACTCCCCTGCTCTCGGAGCCAGAGAACTGGTTACCGTGGGGCAGGAGGCCTGCTGGAAGACTGGGTTACCTCTGGGCACTTGGTGGTTCTAGGCTAAGGGCCTTTGGGCTGAGACTTACTGGTGGCATCCCAAGCAGGGCAGGGCGGCCTAGGTGGCCCAAGAGGCTGAGGGCCAAAGAGAGAGGCCTGCTGCCCTGATGGAAGAACTGTATCCCAAGCTGTTCCTGATCCTGAATTGGAACCTGTTACTACCTTAATAAAGCCCATCCTGTGTGCGCACTGTGTGAGTTCTTTGTAGCCATTGCCCTGAATCCTAGAACCCAGCGGAGGAGCCGGGAAGGCCAGCTGGGGTCAGCATGGCTCAGAAGCCTGAGGGTGGTGGCAGGTCTGATCTCAGCCTGGTCTGAACCGCCCTGGGCCGGTGATGCAGATAAGAGTTCTTCCCGGTACAGTTAGGGCAGGCGATCAGGTGCAGGACATCTTGTATGCATGCTGGGGGGCTCTCAGCCCAAGGAGGTGGGCTGACTGAGCAGGGGGCTAGGGAAGGGAGCCAGGCTTGAGGTCAGGAGGACTGGGGAGGTGCAGGCCCAGTGGCTTCTGAGACAAGGCCCTGGGTGCAGATGGGGGAGGGGAGGGCCAGAGGACCTTTCAAGAGACTAGAGAAGGGACAGGGCTCCAGGGGTCTGGGTGTGGGGCAGGCTTTCCAGCAGTGTTGGGGACCCGGTGGGGTGTGCTGTGGTCAGTGCTATTGGGTAGAGGTGGATGGCAGAATCCACCCAGAGTCGGGGGGTTCCCGCTTACAAAAAGGTGAGGAGAGACAGCAACCCCAGAGCCCAAGCTGGACTGGACGGGGTCTGAGGCCAGGGGTATGGGGACAGTGGTTGCATGCCCTGGGCAGCTGGTGTGGAAGGTGGGCCCCGCCTCACTGGACACCTTACTTCTTTCAGGAGCTCTGTGTTTCCCCCCGGCTCTTTCCCAAGAGCCCCCAGGAGGGGCAGGTGAAGCAGGGGCTGCTGGGGGACTGCTGGTTCCTGTGCGCCTGCGCGGCCCTGCAGAAGAGCCGGCGCCTCCTAGAGCAGGTGCGGCCTCCCCGCGGGCGGTTCTGCGACCCCCTGGCTGTCCCTCCTTGCTGAGGGGGTGAGTCATGGGGCCCTGTGCGCTGCACATTGGAGGCCCTGGACTATCCGTATGGTCAGTGGCAGCAGATGTGGGTGGACGCCAGCCTATATTAGGAGGGCAGCCGGGACCCTGGTGTGGAGTGGTGGCCTCGGCTAGTCGATGTTGACGGGTGTAGACTAAATTGACAAGGGTTAGTAAAAGGCTCTGCCCTCCGGAGGCCCCAGGCTCCCCCGGGAGTGGCCTGGCCAGCCTCCTTCCCAGTGGAGCGCCCAGCTCCGTGCTGGTTTTTAGGCACACTGCCCTGCGGACTGGGCACCATGGGGGGTGGTCCTAGTAAAGGTTGGGGCACAATTCCAGCCATAGTGCCTGTCCCCTCCGCAAGTGGGCTGCTCCGATCACCTCCCCCACCCCCACCTCCACCCCCCACCCCCGTTGGGTGCCGCTCAAAGGCAGGAGCACCGGCCCGTCAAACGTGGTAGCCCTCACAGCTGCCTCTGCCATCCCTGGGCGCTAGGTCATCCCCCCAGGACAGCCGAGCTGGTTGGAACCTGCGTACCGGGGCTGCTTCACCTGCCGTGTGTGGCAGTATGGACACTGGGTGGACATCACGGTGGATGACCGTCTGCCATGCCTCGCTGGGCGACTCTGCTTCTCCCGCTGCCAGAGCGAGGACGTGTTCTGGCTCCCCCTGCTGGAGAAGGCCTACGCCAAGTACGGGGCGGGCCGGGCCTGGGCTGGGCTGGAGGAAGGAGCAGGCCAATGCCAAGTGCGGGGCAGGGCTCGGGATGGACAGGGCAGGGCTAGATGGTGAAGGTCTACACCAAGTACTGGCCGAGTAAGGGAAGGCCAGACATGAGAAGAGGTGGACTCGCTCCTGGACACTACCCATGAATTTATCCGGGGCAGCAGGGGCAGCCTCGCGGGTGTGGATGGGAGGGACAGTGTACAGGGGCGCTGGTTCCTCTTGGTCTTGGCCCAGGGTCCGGCTTGAGGGGCCACGTAGTGGCCCCTCCGTCCACTGTCCACTGGTGTGCCTACAGGAGTGTGAGTCAGGGCTGGAGGCCAGCCCACCCACCCACCTTGGAAGGCAGGATGTGGTAGTGACTGGGAGGCCAAGCAGCAGAGGCGGGGTCAGGGTGGGCTGACGGTCAGGGAACATCCCCGTGCTCACCAGCGGCCTGTGCCCAGGGTCCATGGGTGCTACGAGCTCCTGTGGGCAGGGCAGGTGGCAGACGCCCTGGTGGACCTGACTGGTGGCCTGGCAGAACGGTGGACCCTGAAGGACTTCACAAGGACCAGTGCCCCCCTGGACGGAACGGGTGGCCGGGGACACAGGACCCTGCGGCAGCTGCTCCCCCTGAAGGACCGGTGCCTGCTGAGCTGCTCAGTACTCAGCCCCAGAGCAGGTGAGGGTGGCAGGGGGTCCCCCAGCAGGGCCAGGCCAAGGCCTGTGCTGACTGCCGCCTGGCCAGCCTGGCAGGCTGGCTCCGTAGCACTTCGTAGGCTGGGAGCCTCGCACTCGCTCTCCCTTCAGAGCTGAATACACAATCAAGGGCGCCCTGGTGGTGCCGGGGCTAAGCGCTCAGCTGCTCAGCAGAAGTCCGCTGTTGAAACCCATCAACCGCTCCTTGGAGCAAGATGAGCCGTCTGCTTCCACGAGGAGAGCGCGTGGGCACTTTGACTGTGGGCCAGCACGTTATGCTCACAAAAGAACGATTGCAGAAAGCGAAGAGAAAAAAGACACAGTCGCTGTTTGGGGGCCTGGCCCGTTTCTGCGTGCTCATGGGCGTTGGAAGCCGTTTCTGGGTGTCTCCGCTCCGGGCCATGTGCAGACTTCAGTGGCCCCGCCTGGTTTTCTGTACTCTTCCCAGGCACGGGTCCCCACACATCCTGCTTTTTCTAACACTGACCCACTGCCATCGGTTCCGGTGTACAATCTCATGACTGAGAAAGCCCATTGGTGCTGACGGCCACTTGGCCCGTGGTCGGTCTCCAGGTGCCTGGGCCGGGTGGATTCCCCATAGGTGTACAGGTCGCAGAGGACACTGTGGGTGACAGGATGCCCCCGGCAGCAGCGACAGCCTGGCCCATCCAGCTAGAGGTCGGCACAGAGGTCAGCTGGGTAGGACAGGGCACTGGTGAGGCCTCTCCTCCCTCTCTCCCTTCTTTCCTCCTCCCCTCCTGTGCCTCCCCCCAAGGCTACCGCTGTGTCCCCAGCTCTGCCCCTGCTGGCCCTGGTCTCTGTGCAGCTTCAGGGAGCGCCCAACCCCCCACACACCCCCAGCTCTACCCAGTCAGGCCCGTGACCGGGCAGTGTGTCTGAGCTGTGCTGGCCCAGGTTACTCCTGACACCAGGCGGAAGGGCCCTAGCCCACACCCACCCCGTCTGTGCACGCAGTGACCCTCTGTTCCTCTCCCTCCCGCAGGTGCCCAGGAGCTGGGGGAGTTCCACGCCTTCGTCGTCTCAGACCTCCGGGAGCTGCGCACACAGGCTGGCGGCGATGTCCTGCTGCTCCGTGTGCACAACCCCTGGGGCCGGCGCTGCTGGCAGGGGCCCTGGCGAGAGGGGTAGGTGTGGGGAGGGGCATGGCTTGGGTGGGCCTGGGGGGACACTCTGGGCCTGCTGGCTGAGACATGGCTTCTTCCAGGGGCACAGGGTGGAGACGGGTGCAGGCGGCCGAGGCAGCCGACCTCCTGGCCCAGCTGCAGGACGGGGAGTTCTGGGTAGACGAGGAGGAGTTTGTCCGAGAGTTTGACGAGCTCACCATTGGCTTCCCCATATCCGAGGACGGCTACCTGCAGAGCCTCCACTCAGGTGACACACAGTCCTGCCCCACCCCCCCTCCCTTGGGCGTCTGCCTGTCCATCCATGCATTAGTCACTGCGCTCACCCGTGCTCATCCTGTGAGCCCAGTTAACTAGCACCCTGTCCACTCCAGGCCGGACACTGTGCCACACCCAGGCACTACCCGGGGCCTGGGTCAGAGGGGAGTCAGCCGGAGGGTGCCGGAACCACAGCAGCTTTCCCAGCAACCCCAAGTTCTGGCTGCACGTCTGGGAACCCAGCGAGGTGTGCCTGGCTGTCCTGCAGAGGCCCCGGGGACGCCCGGGGAACAGCCGAGCCACACGGGGCCCAGCCAGCCTCCCGGGCAAGGACCTGCAGGCCCTGGGCCTTCATGTTTGGAAGGTACGTCCTGGGGACAGTGCTGTGGCTGGGTAGCTGGGTGTGGCCCTGCCTGGGATGGCTCCCCCATGCTGGCCACCAGAGGGCAGAGTGGGCACTAGTGTGGTGGCTTCACGTGTTGCTCACATTACAGAGGTCCTGCGGGGACAGTGGCCGTGTGTGTGTGTGTGTGTGTGTGTGTGTGTGTGTACGTACACGCACGTGCATGTGTGTATATGTGCGTGCGTGTGTGTGTGTGTGTGTGTGTGTGTGTGTGTTACTGTGCATGCACCCTCAGAGCACAGCCCTCTATCTGGCCCCCAGGTGGACAAGCGGCGGGTCAGCCTTCCCCGGGTCCTGTCGACACCCCCCGCTGCGGGCACTGCCTGTCACGCATACGACCGGGAGGTCCTCATTCATTGTGAGCTCTCACCTGGGTACTACCTGGCCGTGCCCAGCACCTTTCTCAGGGAAGCACCTGGCCAGTTTCTGCTGCGTGCCTTCTCCTCTGGGAAGGTGGCCCTGAGGTGGGTGCCCCCATGTCCCCGGTGGGCAACCTGCCCCTGCTCATGCCCATTCTGGAGCATGTTGGCCACACTGCCCTCAGCCCGGCCATTCTCACCCTCCTCCCATAGTGCCATCAAGCCAGTGCCCAGGAGCCCGACCCCCGGGGGTGCCCTCTCTGCGGGGGAGTGGGAGACCGTGCAGCTGCAGGGCCATTGGTGGGCCGGACAGACAGCGGGCGGCAGCAGGAACTTCCCCTCCTACGGCAGCAACCCCCGCTTGTCCTTCTCTGTGCCCAGCGGCGGCGGCGGCGGCGGGGACACCCCCTGCTGCATCCGCATCACACTGCACCAGCACTGCCTGGACGGTGCTTGCCACGCCATCGGCTTCCACATCTACCAGGCAAGGCCCCAGGCCGCTGCCCCGGCGAGGGATCTGCAGGGGCTCACTCCAGGGTGGACCGGCCACAGTCAGACCCCAACAAGATGCATGCTGAAACCCCTTTGATACCCACTTGGGGGCTAGGTCGGTTCCGTAGCCCCTGGGGGGTGGCAGGTCCTGGTGGCTGGGACCAGAATCACTCCTGTGCTCAATGCCATGCCTCCACCAGCCGTGTGGGCAGGGCTGTGCTCCTCAGCTCCTCACTTGTGGTGGGCATGGCCCTGGGGAACTGCCCACCCGATGCCTGCCCTGCTGGCACCCACCCACCAGCTTCTGCCATCCTCCACATGCTAGGAAGCTGCCAGAGCCTCAGTTCTGCAAGGGCCACTCCCCTGGCCCTGGTCTCAGGCTGGGCCTGGTCCCCTTGGTGCCCAGCCAGGCCGGAGTCCCTGCTGAGGGCACTGATGGACCACCCCTGACAGGCTCTGCCAGGGTGGCATTTCAGAGTCCTGACAGTCTTGTAGCTCCACGACCTGCCTGCTGGACTGATCTCCAGAGCCCCGGATGGGGACAGAGACAGGGACGGTGGGCCATGGTTTCCTGTCCACCCCAAGCTGCCTGCCCACCGCAGTCTGTCCCGGCAGGTTCCAGAGGGCTGCAGGGGTCCGGGCGCACCCTCCCCTCTGCACCAGGAGCCAGTGTCCAGCTGCGTGCCCCACCGCCATGCTCTGGAGGTGAGCCAGCTCTGCCGCCTGCCTGCGGGCACCTACACACTGGTCCCCTCCACCTACCTGCCAGACAAGGAGGCAGCCTTCACTGTCACCATAGCAACCAGGATCGACAGGTGGGTGGCTGTGCAGGTGGGTGTGGGATCCCTCAGCCAGGAGGGGCTCGAAGCTGATGGCTACTCACTTCCACAGGCGGTCCCTGCAGAGTCGGGAGAGCCTGGGGCAGCTCCTTCAAGAGGTAGGTTGGTCTGCCCGACCCAGGGGCATGGGGGTGTGACCAGCTACGCTGTCTACCATCTGCCTCTCCCTCCACGGCGCCTCACGCCTCCTCCGCAGGCCTCCTTCACGGCCATCATGCAGACTTGAAGGAAGGCCTGCATGTCTGCTCTGGTGACCAGCCTCCTGTGGCCCTCCACGGTACCCCCACCTCGCTCTGCAGTCAGGGACTGGGCAATCAGGACCTGCGAGAGAGACCGACAGCCCAGCACAGAGCCCCCAGCCCTGGGGCCTGACCCTCGTGTGGGCCCGAGGCTCTGAGGACCAGAGGAGGGCGCCCTGAGATCAGCGTCTAATGTCCAGTTGTTTAGAATCAGGAATGTTTGTACGAGAGGATTTTCTAAATAAACCAGTGGACACTGCAGCTGCAGCCAGGCCTCGGGATCAGGAGGGCTCAGGCTGGCCTCTCCTGCACACCACTGCTAACGGAGGGGCATGCTATAGGGATGGATGGGTCACTGGATTGGGGAGGAGGGCATGGAAAGGTGGCAGGTGCTGCCTTTCACCATGGAGGTGCAAGAGATCAGAGGGCACCGTCCACCAATAGCCCAGAAAGCAAGGAGAGGGGACCAGGTGGGGAAGGCTGATCTTGGGACGCCTCTGACTGTTGAGGTGAGGGTGTGCACCTCTGCTTTGGGGCCTGTGTATAAGATGGTGGATACAGCAGTGCCCCTGGCCAGGCGGACTGCCAGCAGTACAGGAGAGGTGCTGGTCCCCACTGGCCCTACTCTTGTCCCCCGAGTGTCCTGACGGGGGCCACATTTCCACTTCAGTGTTGGCCCAACTCCACAGCCATCAAGGGTGGCAGTAACCCTGGCCACGTGGTTTCTGACATCAGTGTCCCTATGGGCCTGTGCCCACTGCCCCCACCCCCCTAACTTCCAGCCCAGCCCACCTCCACCCCACGCACAGGGCAGGGCATGGCGGGGGGAGGAGGGTGGTAATCTTCCTCACAGCTTTCCACCCCCAGTCCCTGGGGCGCTCCACAAGGAGCCCCTGCTGCAGGCCCACCCCGAGGTGGGGAGCCCTGCACAGGTCTGAGAGTCCTTGCTTCCTGAGCTCCAGGACAGGGGTGGGTGGGGCAGTGCTGCCGAGTAGGGCAGACCCTGCGGCCAGGGTCAGTACTGGCTTGAGGCTGCCATGCTTGTGTGTGTGTTGGTGTGCACGTGCATGTCTGTGTGTGCGCGTGTTCCCTGCACTGGCTGCTTGTAGGGAACCATGTCCTTTCATCTGCGGGTTCAGGAGCAAGCCAGCCTGGGAGTGAAGTCTGCAGACTCCTCCCCACCCCCAGGGTCCCTTCCTACCTACGTTGCACTGGCCTCGCCTCCCTGGGGTCCCAACCTGGGCCAGTGACTCCGTGCCCAGTGGCCTCTCTGCGTCCCAAGGCCAGGCCCCTTTAGGCCCCAGGGTACCCCCACCCTAGTGAGTGGCCCAGCTCTCTGTGCCCGCCACTCCCCAGCTCAGTGGTGGTCTTAAAACCCACAGCCCTGGCACTGCCCAGTGGACTCGAGAGGCTGACAGGCACTGGCCTCAGGGAGTGGTGCAAGTGGGCCCACCCCCGGGGAAGTCAGGGTGGGGGTGGGGGCTGCAGTCCATCTCGCCAGCCCACAGGGGGATGTTCGGCCACAGGCACACGGGGCCCAGTGGCCAGAGGCCCAGGTGTCAACTGCCACATCGCGGCCCTGGCTGTGAGCCTGGTGCCTGGCAGGGGCCTCATCCTGAGCCTGACCATGCAGGGGTGCCGGGAGAGCACCCCGCGCAGCTGACTAGGGCTCGACTTGGAAGCAGGGATGCAGAGTGGTGGGG